CAAGTGGCAGAAAGCTCTGTCAGAGAGTGGAGGGTGTGTTTTGCTTTCAGACTATTTACAAGAGTGGTACCACGTGCTCAGAAAATATGTGAAACATTTTTAGGGTGGAACTTCCTCATGTCTCTTTTATTTCTTTTGAAACAGCACAGCTTTTCCTTCACCTTTAAGAGTTTTAAGTCACAGAATCATGAAATGGTTTAGGTTGGAAGGAACTTAAAAATCATCCATTTCCACCCCTCTGCCATGGCAGGGACACCTCCCACTGTCCCAGGCTGCTCCAAGCCCTGTCCAGCCTGGCCTTGGGCACTGCCAGGGATCCAATTCTTCCTAATATCCAACAATNCAGGGACACCTCCCACTGTCCCAGGCTGCTCCAAGCCCTGTCCAGCCTGGCCTTGGGCACTGCCAGGGATCCAATTCTTCCTAATATCCAACAATTTCTTCCTAATATCCAACCTAAATTTATCTTTTTCCACCTTAAAGCCATTCCCCTTGTCCTTCCATCCATCCATCCCTTGTCCAAAGTCCCTTTCCAGCTCCTTTGGAGCCCCTTTAAGTCAAATACTGGCTGACATCTACATTTCTATTCCTATAGTTCTGTTCAAGAAATTGAATTAAAAACTAAGTGGTAATAAAAAGTCATTTTGTCAAAAAAAAACTGCTACAGGAACAGAGACTCTCCTCCAAAAAAAGGTTTTGAGTCAGTATTAAGAAATGAGATTTTCTAATGGGTGCAGCTCTGCAGAACAGTAACACTGAATAGAAAGCAATAAAAATCCCAAATATGGTTTAATAATTATTAAATCTTGTGCTATTCATAAGGAGAATGTGGAGAAACTCAGTTTTACAGCAGTGAGGTCAGTCTGTAACTGCAAATTCAGGCTGTGGTGTTCAGTGACTTCCACTAAAAAAAATTCTCTTATTTTATGACCTGCTCCTAGTAAGTACAATTTGAATGAGTTTTATTACTTCTTGTGACTGCTGGGTTTGCCAGCAGCCCATAAAGATTGAAATGGCCCTAAAATCCCCCAAAACACTGAGGCTCCACACTTTGTTCCTGCAGCCTCTAGGATTTGTTTCCTAGAAATACTTCCAGGTTCTGGCTGCAGATCCATTCCTTTATTTAGGTCTTTGGCACATCCAAACAATTTAAAAATTAAATTTAAATAGTTCAGCCTGTCTTGTGTGGATTATTTTGGATATTTTCTTCTAACTTGAGAAACAAACATAAGACAAATTAAACAATTCATCAGGGATTTCTTTATATCAAGTAGGCTGAGACAAATTTTTATATTTTTAAATTTCAGTAGAGTTTTGCACTGAAATCATTGGTTTTATTTTGTCATGATGTCACTTACCCCTGGCACTGTAAATTGATGTAGCTGTAAAACCCAATTGTTTTTGTTGAGAGAAGTAGATAATAATGGAAAAAATAAGGAATATTAGATTTTGTTCTAACTGATTTCTCTAGAGAGGATAAGAATTTGGATTAGAAAAAGCCTGATAGAGAGTCCAATAGGTGTTAACCAAAATAATCTCTATTTATAGGAAAAAATTCCTTCCTGTGAGGGTGGGGAGGCTCCTGATGAGTGGGAAAGGAGAAAAGGAGGGAAAGGAGTTTTCCATGTGAACTCCAGAATCCAGAGGTGCTCCCAAAAGTGGCTGTGCCTGGAAACCTTCAAACCCTCTTTGTCAACACAGAGCTCAAACTCCAAACAGCTGCAGTTTGTTATTTCACCTTTTTTTCTTTTTTTTTTTTCTTTTTTTTGGGGAAAAAAAATTATTTTGGCAGTGCAGCCCTGTCAGGATTAGGGATAACTTTAATGCAGAAGCTTTCTTTAGGAAGTTTATAGAAGCTGTGCTAAGTTTTAATGAAATTCTTAAAAATTTCTCAGAGCATCTCTGGAAGTTACCTGCAGGTCCTGGTGCTTCTGTGATGACCTTTCAGTGGGAAATGCAGTTTATTTCCATAAATTCACTGAAATTTCAGCCTCCACTCAGGTGAATCCATCTCCTCCTGTGCCTCAGCTGCATCAAATAATTCCATTATTCCCCGAGTTTGTGTTCTGGAATAGTCAGAGCAGGCAGTTCCCTATTTCCAAGCTAAGGAAATCAGATTGTGGGTGGATTGTGTGAGGGAAAAGCAGGAAATGAGGGTGGAACTACATCAGGGTTTGCATTAAATAGCTGGTGTAGATTATTGCTGGTAATTAACCAGGAGAGGTTAATTGGAGAGGTTAAGCAGCCAAGCACACTTTAGAGCTGGATTGGGAACAGCTGATTGAGAGGGAAGGCCAGAGTGTCCCATCCTCTGACTGCTGAAATAATCCATTTTTCTGTGTTACTCTGATTTTAACAGATATTGTACAGTAAATATTCCAGGTGTGTTGTGCTGGGATTGCTGCTCAATGCTTCCAAATGCATTTCCATAAAATCCCAGAGTGGTTTGGTGTGGAAGGGACTTTAAACCATCCCACCCCTGCCATGGACAGGGACACCTCCCACTGTCCCAGGCTGCTCCAAGCCCTGTCCAGCCTGGCCTTGGACGTTCCAGGGATCCAGGGGGAGCCACAGCTTCTCTGGGAAACCCTCAGCCCTCCCAGGGAACAATTCCTTCCCAATATCCCATCCATCCCTGCCCTCTGACAGTGGGAGCCATTCCCTGTGTCCTGTCCCTCCATCCCTTGTCCCCAGTCCCTCTCCAGCTCTCCTGGAGCCCCTTTAGGCTCTGCAAGGGGCTCTGAGCTCTCCCTGGAGAGAACATTCCCAGCTCTCCCAGCCTGGCTCCAGGGCAGGGGGGCTCCAGCCCTTGGAGCAGCCCCAGGGCCTCCTGTGGAATCTCTCCAGCAGCTCTGTGCCCTCCACATCCACTTTTCTTGTTCAGCCTCCTCCACTGCCCCTTATTTAATTGCAGCTGTCCCAGCTGTGTTTTCCTGTGCTGGTTTATTCTGGTCATTGAGGGGATCTCCAGTGTTCTGGAGTTCTCTGGTGTGTCACGAGCGATTGTCCCATTTCCCTGTGACAGAAACACAACTCCTGCCTTTTGGTACCAACCCCATAACACGAACTCACCCCAAACCGCCCTGGAGAAAAACCCCGCCCTGTGCTCTGCCCTAGGTACGACCACATCCTCAAGTGGGAGCTGTTCCAGCTGGCTGACCTGGACACGTACCAGGGGATGCTGAAGCTGCTGTTCATGAAGGAGCTGGAGCGCATCGTGAAGCTCTACGAGGCCTACAGGCAGGCGCTGCTGGGCGAGCTGGAGCAGCGGCAGCAGCGGCAGCAGTGGCACTCGCAGCAGCACGGCCCTGCCAACTACTGAGCTCCCCCAGCTCCCAATGGAAAAGTGCTTTGGTTGAAAAGGCAGCTTATTTTTGTTGACGTTGCACCTTTGTTATTATCCTCTCGAGTATTTTTCTACATGTATTATGTGTTGTTTATAAAAAGTGGAAATTGTTTGTTAATCTTTTTTTTTTTTTTTTTTTTTTTTTTCGTGCCGGGAGTAGTTTTGTTTTCCTGAGAAACCAGCAGTTCCAGATCAGTCCCCTGATCCTTGATCTCTTTCCTGCCAGTCAGCTGCAGTATTAAAAGCTGGCTATGTATTTTTTTTTTTTTAAAGGCAATAGATGCAACTGTCACGTCCTGGCTTCCAAATGTTGTCCAAATCCAAATGCTTCGTTCAGGGTATTTGTTTCCCTGGGGATTTGGGATCCCTCTCCTGAGAGAGCTCTGCTCTTTGTTTACAGCTTTAATGTACAGAACCAGCCCCGGGCCTGTTCACTCACACCAGGAGCTGATCTCACCCTTTGGATCCGAGTGCTTCACAGAAGTGAAGCCTGAGTTGCCTTATTTTTTACTTTAGCTCATTAGTACTCCAGATTTACTCCTCATTTTCACACAGATTACTCAGAGGGTGAACACTTTTACCTTCCTAAAGACCAAGATCTGTAAGCAGAGTGGTTTTGATCTGCATTTCCCAAAACCTGACCCGCTCCAGTGGAAAGGCAGAAGCATTGTCTGACCCACTGTGCCACCCCACGGGGAAAATCAGGGATGTAACAGCAATTAATGTTTGTTTTTTTTTTTTAATGAGCTTTTGTCTTAAAGCTCCTCACTTGGGGAAAACTTTTAATTGTCCAGTTACCCTCTCCAGTAATTTCATTTGGTTCATTAATTGTCCTGATATGTTATTTATGGGTTCTTTTCAGTGCAATAAACACTGCAGACAAAAACGTACATTTCTTGTAAATCCTATGAATTCAATAAAAATCATTTTGTTCGATGAACAGAGGGTTTGTGTGAGTGGTTTGTGGCCTTTTAGCACATCCAATAAACCCTTCTTACCAGCAGGAAAAGCCCCAAGGGCTTGAGATGGTCGAAGCTCTTGGTGGCACTCTAAAATCCCAAACCAAACATCTAAAAAACCCCAGAGGAGCCCTTACCTAGATAATAAATAACTTTTCCCTGTAGAACCAACTTCTTAGGAACCAAAAGCAAACTTTAATAGTCCCGACAATAAAAGAATAGAACTGTACCACACATCCTATGCACTATCATGGATAAATATGTACAGAAATACAGTGAAACCTCCTCCAGCACAGCTACAAAGTGACACTTTGTGCAGACGAACAGAAAGGGCCGCGTTCCTCACAGCACCGTTCACAGACCATAGCAGAAGTGCCCTTACAAGTGTCTGATAAAGCAAGTTAATACATTTTAATTATGTTTATGTCATCGAACAGTTAAACGAAGGGAAAAAAAACAAAAACAAACGTGGTTACATGTTATAACTTCTTCAAGTACCTGAAACAAATTGGCTTTTGGATAAGCTTCTGCCTTTTTAGTCGTGGTATCACGTAAATTACGGTTTCCTCGGTGGTGACTAATTCAGGGGGCAATAAGGCTTCATCCACGAGCTGGGAGTCGCTGGCCATGACGAAGCGAAGCCCAGGGGGGCAGTGCGGGATGAACCCCCGGGGCGGGGAGCGGGACCCGCGTTCCTAAAGCCGCTTCCTGTCGGAGCCGTCGTTGGGCTCGGCCCGCGGCGCGGGAAAGGCGTGGTGGTACAGGTGTCTGTGGGTGGCGGCCGCGCTGTACAGCTTGTACAGAGCCTGTGGGGAGAGACACAGCGTCACCCGCAGCCCCTTCCTGACCCCGGAATCCCAAACACAGGGAATCCCGAACCCAGGGAATCCTTAACCCAGGGAATCCCAAACCCATGGAATTCCAAAGCTAGGGAATCTCAAACCCAGGGAATCCCCATCCCAGGGAACCCCAAATCCAGGGAATCCCAAACATACAGAATCCCAAACCCAGGGAATCCCCATCCCAGGGAACCCCAACCTAGGGAATTCCAAACACAGGGAATTCCCATCCCAGGGAATCCTCATCCCAGGGAATCCCAAACTCAGGGAATTCCAAACCCAGGGAATCCCAATCTCAGGGAACCCCAAACGTAGAGAATCCCAAACTGAGGGAATTCCAAACCTAGAGAATCTCAATTTCAGGGAATCCAAATCCCAGGGAATCCTGATCCCAGGGAATCCCAGGGAATCCCAAACCAAGGGAATCCCCATCCCAGGGAATCCTAAACCTAGGGAACTCCAAACCCAGGGAATTCCAAACTGAGGGAATCTCAAACCTAGAGAATCTCAATCTCAGGGAATCCCAATCCCAGAAAATGCCAAACATAGGGAATCTCAATCCCAGGGAATTCCAAACCCAGGGAATCCCCATCCCAGGGAATCCCAGTCTCAGGGAATCCCAATCCAAGGGAATCCCAAACCCATGTAATCCCCATCCCAGGGAATCCCCATCCCATTCCCTGGGAATCCCAATCCCAGGTACCACAGCTGGTCTGTGGGTTAGAGAGGGTTAATGAATGAGATTTGTTTAGAGAAATATTCTCTGACCAAGGCTGTTGGTCTGGAGACCAAGAAGAGAAAAAAAGAAGAAGGAG